CTAGTCTATAGTCTAGTCTATAGTCTAGTCTATAGTCTAGTCTATAGTCTAGTCTATAGTCTAGTCTATAGTCTAGTCTATAGTCTAGTCTATAGTCTAGTCTATAGTCTAGTCTATAGTCTAGTCTATAGTCTAGTCTATAGTCTAGTCTATAGTCTAGTCTATAGTCTAGTCTATAGTCTAGTCTATAGTCTAGTCTATAGTCTAGTCTATAGTCTAGTATATAGTCTAGTCTATAGTCTAGTCTATAGTCTAGTCTAGTCTAGTCTAGTCTATAGTCTAGTCTATAGTCTAGTCTAGTCTACAGTCTAGTCTATAGTCTAGTCTATAGTCTAGTCTATAGTCTAGTCAAATAGTCTAGTCTATAGTCTAGTCAAATAGTCTAGTCTATAGTCTAGTCTATAGTCTAGTCTATAGTCTAGTCTATAGTCTAGTCTATAGTCTAGTCTATAGTCTAGTCTATAGTCTAGTCTATAGTCTAGTATATAGTCTAGTCTATAGTCTAGTCTATAGTCTAGTCTATAGTCTAGTCTATAGTCTAGTCTATAGTCTAGTCTATAGTCTAGTCTATAGTCTAGTCTATAGTCTAGTCTATAGTCTAGTCTATAGTCTAGTCTATAGTCTAGTCTATAGTCTAGTATATAGTCTAGTCTATAGTGTAGTCTATAGTCTAGTCTATAGTCTAGTCTATAGTCTAGTCTATGGTCTAGTCTATAGTGTAGTCTATAGTCTAGTCTATAGTCTAGTCTATAGTCTAGTCTATAGTCTAGTCTAAGTCTAGTCTATAGTCTAGTCTATAGTCTAGTCTATAGTCTAGTCTATAGTCTAGTCTATAGTCTTCTGTAGAAGTTTTCAACATGAAGAGAAAGAGGAGACAGTCTTCACTTTGCCTGACATTGTCCGACCTGAGATGAGCATATTGGTCGAAAATAATGATTTATTGGTTGATTAAAGTCAAATTTTCAAACAATAAATGTTTCCTATATTATGGATTATTTATAACGATATTTTAAATTCGGTTGCAATAAGGAAATCTTTTAACGGACATACAATTTAGTATGGCAACACTTCTTGTATGAAATATGTCTTTGCTAAATAGTGTTTGTCAGCAATGTGATAGTAAAGACAGCAACCACAAAATACTGGTATTTTCGTGTTGAATTTACACTTACAGAAAAAGTTTAAAAAGTTATAGTTTTTGTTTGTAAGAAATTCAATTTCATAAAATCTCGTAGTATTTTTATTCAAATTTCTTTCGTTGCAAATATTAACAATTTTCCAACCTATTTTCTTTTCAATTAAAACTCCATGTTTTTACATTTCATTAATAATTTTTATTGTGTGTGTTTTATTGTTTATATTATTTTATTGTTATTTTTATTAATATTGTTGTTTGATTTCTTCATTCTTAATTTTAGTATAAAGTTGGAAATTTTTAGATTTTCTAAGTTATTATTAGGGGTAGAATAGTTATATGGGATGATTAGTTAAGGGAGAGATGGGTTATATAGAAGATATTTGTATATAGACTATGTATATTTTAATAGACTTGTTGCTTATAGTAGAAATATATAATATAATATATTTTTCGTTACTTTTTTCAAGAATATTTTTTTTTTTTTTTTTTTTTTTTTGTAAGAAATTTGGAGTTTAATAAAAATTATTTCAAATAAGGGTCACATTTTGCAAACCACATAGCCGTCATCCATAATCAAATGAAAGGACTTTTGAATATCTTTCTTTTGATATACATATTGCCTATGTATACCTTTATACATAGGTATTTTGAACACAGCATACGAAATGTTTTAAAAATTCTGGAAAAATCATGAGTTTTTTCGCAATTTTGTTCACATCTTGGTTATTTAAGAACCTACATATGTTTTTGGCTGATTTTAAATAGCAAACATCTTGACAGCATGTCCAATAGGATTATTGAAGATTTTGACCCTAAAGATATCTGGGGTCTACAAAAAAACTATCTATAAAAACATAGGGACAGACAGCCACTTAGATGAACCTAACCAAATCGACTTCGTTATAATCTATAGTCTAGTCTACAGCCTTGTCTATAATCTAGCCTATGGTCTAGTTTAAAGTTTAGACTATAGTCTAGTCTATAGTTTAGTCTATAGTCCATAGACTAGTCTATAGTCTCGTCTATAGTCTAGTCTATAGTCTAGTCTATAGTCTAGTCTATAGTCTAGTCTATAGTCTAGTCTATACTCTAGTCTATAGTCTAGTCTGTAGTCTATTCTATAGTTATAGACTATAGTCTATTATATAGTCTAGTCTATAGTCTAGTCTATGGTCTAGTCCATAGTCTAGTCTATGGTCTAGTCCATAGTCTAGTCTATAGTTTAGTCTATAGTCCAGCATATATAGTCTAGTAGACTATAGTCTAGTCTATAGTCTTGACTATAGTGTAGTCTATAGTGTAGTCTATAGTCTAGTCTATAGTCTAGTCTATAGTCTAGTCTATAGTCTAGTCTATAGTCTAGTCTATAGTCTAGTCTAGAGTCTAGTCTATGTCTAGTCTATAGTCTAGTCTATAGTCTAGTCTGTAGTCTAGTCTTGTCTATAGTCTAGTCTTGTCTATAATCTAGTCTTGTCTATAGTCTAGTCTAATCTATAGTCTAGTCTTTTTTATAGTCTAGTCAATAGTCTAGTCTATAGTCTAGTCTATAGTCTAGTCTATAGTCTAATCTATAGTCTAGTCTATAGTCTAGTCTATAGTCTAGTCTATAGTCTAGTATATAGTCTAGTCTATAGTCTAGTATAGTCTAGTCTATAGTCAAGTCTATAGTCTAGTCTATAGTCAAGTCTATATTCAAGTCTATAGTCTAGTCTATATTCTAGTCTATAGTCTAGTCTATAGTCCAGTCTATAGTCTAGTCTAAAGTCTAGTCTAAAGTCTAGTCTATAGTCAAGGCTATAGTCTAGTCTAGTCTATAGTTTAGTCTATAATCTAGTATATAATCTAGTCTATTGTCTAGTTTATAGTATAGTCTATAGTATAGTCTTCAGTCTAGTCTATAGTGTAGTGTATAGTCTAGTCTATAATCTAGTATGTAGTCTAATCTATAGTCTAGTCTATAGTCAAGGCTATAGTCTATAGTCTAGTATATAGTCTAGTCTATAGTCCAGTCTATAGTCTAGTCTATAGTCAAGGCTATAGTCTAGTCTATAGTTTAGTCTATAATCTAGTATATAATCTAGTCTATTGTCTAGTTTATAGTATAGTCTATAGTATTGTCTTCAGTCTAGTCTATAGTCTAGTCTAAAGTCTAGTCTATAGCCTAGTCTATAGTCTAGTCTATAGTCTAATCTATAGTCTAGTCTATAGTCTAGTCTATAGTCTAGTCTATAGTCTAGTCTATAGTCTAGTATATAGTCTAGTCTATAGTCAAGTCTATAGTCTAGTCTATAGTCAAGTCTATAGTCTAGTCTATAGTCTAGTCTATATTCTAGTCTATAGTCTAGTCTATAGTCCAGTCTATAGTCTAGTCTAAAGTCTAGACTAGTCAAGTCTAGTCAAGTCTATAGTCAAGGCTATAGTCTAGTCTATTTTCTAGTCTATAGTCTACTCTATAGACTAGATATAGTCTATAATCTAGTCTATAGTTTAGTCTATAATCTTGTATATAATCTAGTCTATTGTCTAGTCTATAGTATAGTCTATAGTATAGTCTTCAGTCTAGTCTATAGTCTAGTCTATAGTGTAGTGTATAGTCTAGTCTATAATGTAGTATGTAGTCTAGTCTATTGTCTAGTCTATATTCAAGTCTATAGTTTAGTCTAAATTTATCTATATGTAATGTAATAGATTTCATGTTTAATATCGAATGCCTTCATCTTAAAAAAAGGAACTTAACAATCACATTTAACTCTATCAAAAATGTTTTCACTTGACCCCTGACCTTCTAACAATGTTCTTAAAATGACAATTGTTTCATCATGTTTCTTTTAAATAAAAATTTTCCTTGAATTTATAATTTGTTTTATTAATCCATAAATTTAAACTCCATTTTCTGTTTATAGTTTTAAATATTTGTGTTTGTTTTATTGTATAGATAATATTGTTGCTGTTTTTGTTGTTTTTTCTTGTAATTTTTTGGTTATTGCTTAAATTATTAATTGTGTTTATAATTAAATATTAATATTTGATTTTTGTTTTATACCTTTCTTTTCAGTTTAATTTAAATATTAAAAGCGATTTTAAAAGCATTTATAAATTTTTTTTGTTTAAAAGCTTTAGATGTTGTTTTTTTTTATAATATTTATTGTTTATTTTGTTGCTGCAATTAAATTAATTTTTTTTAAATTAAAACATTAATAAACATATACACATTTTAAGCAAATTCTAAAAAAAAGGGTTTTGATCTGAAGGGGTTTTAACCCTTTTGAAAAAAAAACTTTTAATTTAAAAAGTTAAAACGTTTGGATATAAAAACATAAACTTTGGTTAAATGTTATAAATTTTTTTACAATTATAAAAATATTTTAAAAGCATTAAAATTTAATAAAATTACTGTTTAATTTTATCATTTTTGCAGATTTTATATTAAATTTAATTTTATTTTTATATAAAATTTGTAAAACTTAAAATAATAAATATGTATAATTTAATAATAATAATAAAAAATTCTTAAATTTTTGTGGGGTTAATACTTAAATAATAAACAATTATAAAGGGGAAGTTGTTAAAAAATGTTTAAAAAAACATAAAACCTTTCAAATTTTAAAATTTAGCAAAATATAAAAAAAAAGTTTTAAAAGATTTATTTTAAATTATTGTGTAATTTTTCTTTTTTTTTTTCTAAAATTAACACTCTTTAAGAGGTTAGTTTATCATAATAAAAATAATAATAAAAATTTTAAATTACATTAAAAAAATACTTGTTTAAACTTAACAGTTAAATTATATTTAAAATTAAAAAAACTTATGCAAAAAGCTTTTTTTTATTAACAGGTTTTTGTTTAAAAGTTTCCTTTTTGTATTTATTGCTGCGTTTGTTGATTCTGTTGCTGATGCTGGGTCTCGTAACGTTGTCTTAAAGCGGTCAAAGCACTTAATAATCTACTATTGGCTGCATCTAAAGCTGCTATCTGTTGTCCCTGTTCCTCAATCACCTTTTGCTTGTGCGACAAAGCCAAAGACATTTTCAATTGTTCACGTCTGAGCTCTTCCTCCATGGTTATCAATCTGTCAAATATAAAATTTCTGCTTTTTTAACAAAATTCAATTTTCTTTTTATAATTTAAAAGCAAATAAAAGTAACTCACCGATCAATAATACTCCTCATGGTGGATTCTGATTGTAGACTTAAATTATTGCCGGCCAAGGAACCCGATGTGCCATTGGGTCCCTGTTGAAAACCATTGCAACGTTGTAAAGCGAAAAGTTCATCACTGGAATCTCTCAGTTCGGCCTCATCACGATCTAAAGTGTGTCGCAAAGTGTCAAGAGTTTCTTGCAGCAATTGTATTTCGCCATTTTGATCAAAACTGCTGAGAGCGGTGGAATTGGAAACATGCTGGAAGCCACCACCATTTGAGGTGTTATTCATATGAGTGCGAGGCTGACGACGACGTTTATTGCCTTCATGTGGGGGGCAGTGACCTGAAAAAGGGAACAAATTAATAAATTTGAGGTTAAATATGATTAAAAATGGAAATTTAAAGAGAAGGTTAGGTTGCAGACTAGACTATAGATTAAACTATAAACTAGACTATTAACTAGACTATAGACTAAACTACAGATTAGACTATAGACTCAACTATAGACTAGACTATAGACTAGACTATAGACTAGACTATAGACCAGACTATAGACTAGACTATAGACCTAGACTATAGACTAGACTTTAGACTAGACTATAGACTAGACTTTAGACTAGACTATAGCCTAGACTTTAGACTATACTATAGACTAGCTATAACTAGACTATAGACTAGACTATAGACTGACTATAGACTAGACTATAGACTAGACTATAGACTAGACTATAGACTAGACTATAGACTAGACTATAGACTAGACTATAGACTAGACTATAGACTAGACTATAGACTAGACTATAGACTAGACTATAGACTAGACATAGACTAGACTATAGACTAGACTATAGACTAGACTAGACTATAGTCTAGACTATAGACTAGACTATAGACTAGACTATAGACTAGACTATGGAACTAAGCTAGACTATATACTAGACTATAGACTAGACGATAGACTAGACTATAACTAGACTATAGACTAACTAAGACTAGACTATAGACTAGACTATAGACTAGACTATAGACTAGACTATAGACTAGACTAGAGACTAGACTATAGACTAGACTATAGACTAGACTATAGACTAGACTATAGACTAGACTATAGACTAGACTATAGACTAGACTATAGACTAGACTATAGACTAGACTATAGACTAGACTATAGACTAGACTATAGACTAGACTATAGACTAGACTATACACTAGACTATAGACTGGACTATAGACTAGACTATAGACTAGACTATAGACTAGACTATAGACTAGACTATAGACTAGACTATAGACTAGACTATAGACTAGACTATAGACTAGACTAGACTATAGTCTAGACTATAGACTAGACTATAGACTAGACTATAGACTAGACTATAGACTAGACTATAGACTAGACTAGACTATAGACTAGACTATAGACTAGACTATAGACTAGACTATAGACTAGACTATAGACTAGACTATAGACTAGACTATAGACTAGACTATAGACTAGACTATAGACTAGACTATAGACTAGACTATAGACTAGACTATAGACTAGACTATAGACTAGACTATAGACTAGACTATAGACTAGACTAGACTAGACTATACACTAGACTATAGACTGGACTATAGACTAGACTATAGACTAGACTATAGACTAGACTATAGACTAGACTATAGACTAGACTATAGACTAGACTATAGACTAGACTATAGACTAGACTATAGACTAGACTATAGACTAGACTATAGACTAGACTATAGACTGGACTATAGACTAGACTATAGACTAGACTATAGACTAGACTATAGACTAGACTATAGACTAGACTATAGACTAGACTATAGACTAGACTATAGACTAGACTATAGACTAGACTATAGACTAGACTATAGACTAGACTATAGACTAGACTATAGACTAGACTATAGACTAGACTATAGACTAGACTATAGACTAGACTATAGACTAGACTATAGACTAGACTATAGACTAGACTATAGACTAGACTATAGACTAGACTATAGACTAGACTATAGACTAGACTAGACTAGACTATAGACTAGACTATAGACTAGACTATAGACTGGACTATAGACTGGACTATAGACTAGACTATAGACTAGACTATAGACTAGACTATAGACTAGACTATAGACTAGACTATAGACTAGACTATAGACTAGACTATAGACTAGACTATAGACTAGACTATAGACTAGACTATAGATCGACTATAGACTAGACTATAGACTAGACTATAGACTAGACTATAGGACCTAGGACTATAGACTAGACTATAGACTAGACTATAGACTAGACTATAGACTAGACTATAGACTAGACTAATAGACTAGACTATAGACTAGACTATAGACTAGACTATAGACTAGACTATAGACTAGACTATAGACTAGACTATAGACTAGACTATAGACTAGACTATAGACTAGACTATAGACTAGACTATAGACTATACTATAGACTAGACTATAGACTAGACTATAGACTAGACTATAGACTAGACTATAGACTAGACTATAGACTAGACTATAGACTAGACTATAGACTAGACTATAGACTAGACTATAGACTAGACTATAGACTAAACTATAGACTAGACTATAGGACCTAGACTATAGACTAGATTATAGACTAGACTATAGACTAGACTATAGACTAAACTATAGACTAGACTATAGACTAGACTATAGACTAGACTATAGACTAGACTATAGACTAGACTATAGACTAAACTATAGACTAGACTATAGACTAGACTATAGACTAGATTATAGACTAGACTATAGACTAGACTATAGACTAAACTATAGACTAGACTATAGACCAGACTATAGACTAGACTATAAACTCTATAGTCTATAGAATCTATGTATAGTCTACATAGATTAGACAATAGACTAGAATCCCTAAAAAACCAATTCCATTTCCTTACCTTCTGTATCTGTTGAACTATCCGACAAAGTTCTAGCCGAATCCAAACTCAATCTGCGCTGATAACGGCCATTTCCCGCCATAATCAAAGAGACTGGATTATTGCCATACTGCTGTTGCTGTTGTTGGCCAGAACGTGAGGGATTATTGTATATTGCCACAGTGCCAGGATGTATACCATTACTACCCGCTGACGAAGCTGAAGAAGACGTCAAATAACTACCATTATTGAGAGGAGCATAAATATCCTCCCGTTTAAATTGAGGATTAGTACGTGGCATACGTTGCTGCTGCTGTTGTGCGGAGTTATTAAAACCCGGCATATTCGAGCTAGAGGCTGAAGATGTACTGCCACCACTTAAAGTGCGTTGAGCATCCAAGTGGCCATGAGAGGGTGATTTCAAAAGCTTATTAACTGGGGCATAATTGTGATAATTATCATTGGAAAGTCTTTCCTCACTAGAGGAGGGCGTTAGAGGAGCAGCATTATTTAATAAAGCAGCTCGTGCAGCCACCATACCACCGCCATTTGAGTTCTTAGAAGATCTATTATTACCCGCACCACCGAACAGTTGTTGATGAGCTGTCAAACCGCCATTATTAAACGAACGTTGCTGTTGGTTGTGGTGATGGTGGTGATGATGATGATGGTGGTTGGCTTGTGAAGAGGGGGTGGAAGTGTTTTGCAATTGATAGCTGGGATTTTTGAAAGCCAAAGGAGCTGCCGACGATTTCGGTTGCTGTTGAGACTCTAAAGCGCTTTGAGTATTTATGCTTTGGTAACCAGAACTAGAACCATGACTGGTTTTGCCCGACAATTGTTCCTTATTTTTGTGATTGCCCGCTGGCTGCACCTCACCCACTACTGCATGCTCTTCGGCATATTTGAAGAGATCATCTAAATCCTCCAGATTCATGGGCATATTCGAATTGGTATTGGAGTCACGGGGTCTTTGGTAATTGGGCATTTTGTGTGACAAAGGAGAGCTGGAATGATCGGGTATGCCCAGATTTAATTTACTAGGAGTACGATCACTCAAAGTTAAACTCAAGGTGGAATTGTTTAACAATCTTTGCTGTTGCTGCTGTTTCTGTTGTTGGGCATTTAACATGCTTACCGTAGTGCCCACCACACCCTGATTGTTTTGGTTCTTTAGCAAAGGAGTGGGTGATTTGCGCACAAAAGCACTGTTGGTGTCAAGGCCAGAAATTTGTATAAAATCTCCGGTGGACTCATCATAATTATTATTATTGCCTCTGGGCAGAGTGGTGGCTCTTATTTGTCCTCCTCCGGTGGAGGAGCTAACCTCACTGTCATTGCCATTGTGGCTAACGGTGGAGAGATTACCATTTGAACTGGCCGCTGTATAATACAAACGTTCCATGGTATTTGAAGCGCTGGCATTGGGTGCGGGGGGACAATGATGTGTCACACCGGCCGGCATCATCAGCTGTGAAGAACTAGCTATAGAACTTTGGCTTTGGGCATGCTGCATACCTCCTGTATAGGATAAGGCCGCAATAGAACTCTGTGAATTCGAGTGCCTTTTATCCATATTCGTAAGACTTTGTTGCTGCTGCTGTTGTTGTTGCTGTTGCAATATACCATTTACTGTGGGATCATTATAACGGAAAATATTCTTTTCCAAAGAGCTAGGAGTCAAAACTCCACGCATTATACCCCTTTCTGCTGGTACCGGTTTTGTGACTACGGCATGCTGCGGCTGAGCCAATTGGGCCTGTTGCTGCTGCACCACCCCTCCGGCTGTGGAGCCGCCCGCTGAACTACATGAAGTCATCATTTCATCGGGATTACGATTCTCTTGATTTTCACTTGTCGAGGAGGTGGACATCATCATATTGTGGCTGGGTAAATGTTGCATATAATTGTTACTTTCTTTGGCTTTGGTAATTTCATCTAATATATGTTGCAAAGGATCTAGATCTTGTTGTCTAGCCTCCGGCAATTTGGTAACACTTTCGCTGAGTAGCATGTGTAAAATAGACAATTGTTTGCCTTGATCTATATAGCCAGCCCAGTCAAGAATAGATTCAGGGTTAGTATGCTCCGGCCGGGTGGAAATATTTTGTAAGAATTCCTTCATTTTGGGAGCCTCTTGTTCTAGGAAATCATTAAGAAATTCCATGAAATTTTCCTTACCCTGGAAACGGGTGAAATTAGCCAAGGTTTGTAGGGTTTTGGCCACCAGGGTTAAATTGCGGGTAGCGCGGGAAGAGGGAAGTTCTAGAAATAAAACATAGACATTATTAACCATAACCATTATATCCTCTTCAAAAAACAAATTACTTACCATTGGTTATATTAAAAAGACTGGGTGACAATATGGCTGGACACAGGAAACGCAAAAATATGGAAGCCGATATCAAGTTATCCGCCATATCCTGACGTCCCAGCTGCTCTAGCCTCTCACGGAAGGTGGCAAAACAATTGCGCAGTTGTGGTGGAAAATGCTTGCTCGACTCGTAGATACACTGCCAAGCATTGCGTACGGCTGCTCTTAAAGAAGCCTGTTGTCGTGTTAGCGAACCAGTCGCTTTGGTAGGATCCACCTCACAATCACGATCCGATTGTATGATCTCATTAATGGGCCCTGCCAAAGTATCCTGCAAATACTGCTCCCCGGTCAACTTTAAAAATGCCTCCATACTCTTAGTGGCCAAAGAATTGCCGCGGAAGGTCAAACGTTGATCGCCCACTCTCAACAAATCCAAGGCCACCACATCGGTGAGGAAAGCTCCTGCCAAACCTTGAGCATGCATCAGCAAAACCAAAGATTGACCTATATCCTCTTTGGCCTTAACGCCAATAACCGGTTCCAAGGTTTCGCACACTTTCTTATAGTTTTCCTTGAGATAAGCCAGAAAATCGGCATAAACATTGATTGGCAAAATGTCAATACTCTGGAAGCGACACTTAATGCGCAACGTGGGTATAACCTCTTTGCCATTACGATTAAGACTATCATTCTTCTCGCTGAGTATTGGATACCAATCTTCGGAAAACAAACGTGTGGTCACCTCGTGTATGGGTATCTTTACGGAGCCCACAAACATATGCTTATCGCGTTTCTTTTTCTTCTCCACTTCACGGAAAACGTTAACGGTAATGACATTTATGTCGGGTATATCGGGAAAGTCGAAATATTCACCCCAGAAGAGTAAATCGGTTTGTAGTTTAACACTAGTACGCCCGTAAAGGGTCTTATCGAGATGTAATTCGCAAAAGTATTTTTTCTTTGGTGGTAGATTTTTGGCCTCGTATATCCACATTTTCAGAGAGTTGTCTGTGTGGCGGGTGTGTTCAGCATTCGGTGCTATTGACTTGCGCAACGAATATATCCAGAGGTCACGTTCCTGACGTGAGCCACAGGAATAATAACGTTCGCCGCGAGGTCCGCCACGTACCTGAAAACAATAGCGGCGTCCTAAAACGGATTGATGTACGGGTGCCACACCCACAGCACCGGTGCAAGAGAGATCTGTGAAAAGAACAAGTTTATAATGAAGTCGTGTTAAAATATTTTATTTTTGAATAGGAAACTTACCGATGGTTGACATTACAGCGTGACTGGAAAGTAAACTTTCATGAGAACGAGAGCCTCGTAAACCGCCTGAACCTCGTTTAGTGCGTTCAAGTTTGGTCACAGATTTTGTACGTTTTAAAGGATTCGATCTATAAAAATATAAAGAAAATTAGAAATTAATAAGGATCAAAATACTAGCAGAATTTAGATACAAGTCAACAAAATGTCAAACGAATGTGCGAAAGTTTTTATTCAAAATTGTCAAAGTATGATTTTCGAACCTTGGGGATATCAAGGAATAATAATTAATCAACAGATTAAGACCCGACTTAACTAATTTCTAGCTGCGATCAATTGTTGATCGTTTCTATTTGAAATAAAGAAATAAATATTTTAGTCAATCTGTATTAAAACAGTCTGTTTATTAATAAATAACAAATAAATTTTGTTATAATCACCCTGTAAAAAAAATAGCAGGACTATCAGCTAAACTACAATTATGACTACAAACCACAGGCATCAAAAATATGTTAAACATTTTGTAGAAAAAGTATAACGCATCATTACTTTCAACATTTCCTCTAAAAAGAAAAGAGAAACGATTGCCAAAACTCTTGCCAAGTTTAAATTACAAAAGCCCAGCCTTCAAAAACATTTTCTTAATAAATATTCCTGCTCACTGCCAATATATTTATTTTTTTTTTCAACAACTCATTTTCATCCAACTTTTTTGCCAAAAAATCTAAAACCAATCAAATTTGTATTATCAAGTCTATAAACTTAACTTGTCTTCATTAAATTCGTTACATTTCAAACATTTTTAAACTATTTCTTTAGGTTTTTTTTTGCTACAAAACCTCTTTTCCTGCGGCTAACACACCCTCAGGAAATTTTTTTTAGATAACTTAATTTATTTTACAGGCATTTGGCCAACAAGTCAATCGAACACCGGAAAATGAGTTTTAAGAAGGAAGTGTTAATAAAATATCTTTGGCACATTTTCATATAAATTATTTATTTGCCTTTGCTTTAACATTGTTAAACTGAAAGGCAAAAACAAATATTGAAAACTGGCACACAAATGACATTTATAAAAATTGATTTGGCTTCTTTTTTTTTGGTTTGGTTTTGGCAAAGTTATTAGTGTTAATGCCCTTTTGTTGTGGAAAATTGTTTAGGTTAAAATTAGTTTGTTTTTTGTGCTACCAAATGACCTCATGAACTTTTAATGTGATTAATAGGAAATAGATAAAACAAGGACAATATTGGGTGGCAATTTAAAACAATTTAATATTGTAGAAATTTAAGATTAGAAGAATTCAGAGTGTTAGCTGGTAGAGATTCTGGTGGGAATCGAAGTTTTGAATATTCAATGTTTTAAATAACATTCAATTTTAAATGATGAGTCTGAGTTTGAAGAGATCGAAATATAAACCCTTTGTAAAACTTTTTAGTTAATATGCTTCAATGTTTTAAATAATATTTAATTTAAAATAAAGCGATGAAATGGAATATTTTATAAGATGCCCGACTTGGAACTCTAACTAATTTTAGTTATGTTTTAAAGTTTTCGATGTTTTTTGCCCGTTTTCCTTAAGTTTTGACAACATTGCTTGGAATATTCAATAAAGTAAAGTTTGCGATGTTTTTAGCTCGTTTTCCTTAAGAGTTGACAGCACTGCTTGGAATGTTCATTAAAGTAAACAAAACAGGATGACACAGAATTATAAATTATTAAAAGTAAAGCAAATATTAATATTTTGACCAAAGTTTTTAAATATAAAGTTTTATTTGTAAATTTAATAAGAATTTATATTTAGCAACAATGTTTAACACTTTATGAATAGGGTTCTATAGTTGAAACGAAAAGTCGACTTTTCGACTTTTTGCATTTAGTTAAAAGTCGACTTTTCGACCTTTCGACTTTTTCCATTTTATGAAAAGTCGATTTTTCGACTTTTCGACCTTTTTCATTTATTTAAAAGTCGACTTTTAGTATTTTATAAATGGTCGACTTTTCGACTTTTTCCGACTTTTCGATTTTTTACGACTTTTTGACTATTTTCGATTTATTTCGACTTTTTTTCGACTATTTTTTTACTTTTTTCGAGTTTTTACGACTATTTTAGAGTTTTTGACCTATTTTTCCACTTGTTTAAAATTTTCGACTCTTTTCGACTTTTCGACTTTTATCGACTTTTCGACTTTTTCCGACTTTCGACTTTTTTCGACTTTCTTCGACTTTTTTCGACTTTTATTTACAAAGTCGACTTTTAGACTTTTTTCATAGACGATAGTCGAGTTATCGACTTTTTTGGAACAAAATAGTCGACTTCGACTTTTCGACTTTTTTCGACAAAAAGTCGATTGTTCGATTATTCGAAAGTCGATTTATAGAACCCTATTTATGAATAAATAAACAAAACAGGACGACACAAAACTATTTTAAAAGAAATACCCGATTGTTCACTGCAAAAGAAGGTAACATAAAAAAAAATTGCCGTTTTATTTCTAAATTGAAGTACAAAGATACTTTTTTTAACATAATTTATTGAAAAATATGTAAAATCCAATAAATTATAATAAAAAATAAAAAAAAACAACAACTGTCTAAAAAATAATAAAACAACTAAACAAAAACCTTTTATGACTAAAAAAACTGACTGACAGTTGCCTTGTTAAAACTCAAAACCACACATAACCTAGACCTTCAAACACATTTTGCAAAAAGACTATAGGGTAACACATCAATTCGTTGAGGCCAAGTGTTTATTAAATATTTTTTTTATTTATTTTGTTACACATTTTATTATTTAATTTCAATCTTACGTTTGTCATAGCACAGTGCCCAATATCTAGCATTGTGCTGGCTGCTTCACTTCACCTCTATTGTTAAAACATTTGACAGATGACGTCTACAATTTGTTGCTTATTTTTTTGTAAACTAACTACTTATTTACTACTATTACAGGAGGCTGTTGCCGCTACACTTTGTATTTAAGTGCCAAAGATAACTACTGTCTTGTAAATTTGAATCGGGTGAGTAATTTTCTATATAATATTTGTTAAGGTCTCTCTAGTTGTTAGTAGTCGTTTTGGCTGTTTATTTGTAGACGAAAGTTAAAGTTACCATGAAAATTGCTGGAAAGAATTAATGCTTATTTTCATGCAGTTTTTCTTTGTAGGTTAGGTTTACAAAGGGTTAGTTTTAGAGTTTCAGCTTAACTAAAAACCTTTAGTTAAAATTTGTTTTTATAAAAACATTTTGATTATGTAAACTTTTATTAACAGTTTAAGTTCTAAATGTTTAATCTGTGTTTAATATTAAGTTTAACTTATCTGTTTAAAACCGTATGCCAAAGATTACGTTAATTTTATTTTTATTACAACAAGAATTTACAGGTTTTTTTGTGAATTTGTTTTTTTTATTATTTTTTGCAATTTGCTGGTAATTTTATTATGGCTTAAAGCCAGTGAACCAACAAATCAAGTTAACAAATGCCTCTTCCAGCTATCTTTCCTAACTATATAATAATAACAGACTGGGTACTAGGTAACGATTGTCCGTCCCTGTATAATTCTGTTTTTGTGTGAGTCTGTGTGGTTAAAATTGTAGTTAAACACACACCAGCTGTGTTATTTTGCGGTTAAGTCTTTGAATTCGCATTTCGGGTTAAAAAAGCAAAAGAATTGTATATAAAACTTCAAAACACTATAAATTGGTGCAGGCAGCTTTGAGGCATAGACTTTGTTCGTTTAGTTTTGATGGAGTGCACAAGTGCAGCAATAGTGGTTTGATGTACTATGACAAGAGTTGGTGGCTGGTTTTTTCAAAAGGGTTTTTTGTCTATAGGTAGTTTTTGTTTATAACTTTGTAGGAGATGTATTGACTGTTTGTAATTTTGATAAAAAAACTTTCCGAGGTTTTTAGTTTTCAGGGAGTGCTTTGTTAACGTTAGTTTTTTTGGGGTGTTATTTAAAATGTTTGCCTTTGCTAGACTTTTATTAGCTGAATTTTGCTATTTCAGGGGTGTGTTGTTGTGTGCAAAAAGGTTGTTTAGAGTTAATATGTTTAATATGCATGTTATTAAACTTTTGGGATAAACCAAAAAAATTAATCAATTAATTTTTATTAAGATTATATGGAAAAAATAGGTGGGGAAGTGGAAAAAAAGAGTTGAAAATAAGAAAAACTGGGTTAATGTAGTAAAAACTAAAGGAAATTATAAGAAAAGTCTTAAAAACTCATATTTAAACTATTTTATTAAAGTTTACATGAAGTAAACCATGTAAATATTATATTTTTATATGAATTATAATATTTGTGAAGAATTTTTTGAATTTTTTCATACTTTACATATGTCAACAATGTAAATTTAAGATTTTCTTATGAGAAATAATATTTCATAAGAATTTTTTTGTATTTTTTCATAATTATCTATTATTTACACATTGTCTACATGATGTCAACTATGTAAATTATGTAATTTTTTATTATTAACAATATTCCAGAAGAATTTTTGACTTAACTTGAATATTTCCTATTATTTACACATTGTTTACATGATGACAACAATGTAAATTAAGTCAAATTTTATTGCAAACAATATTCCAAAAGAATTTTAGAAAAATATTGAATATTTCCTATTATTTACACATTGTTTACATGATGTCAACAATGTAAATTAAGTCAAATTTTATTGCAAACAATATTCCAAAAGAATTTTTGAAAAATATTAAATATTTGCTATTATTTACACATTGTTTACATGATGTCAACATGTAAATTAATTAAAATTTTATTGTAAACAATATTCCAAAAGAATTTTTAAAAAAATATTGAATATTTCCTATTATTTACACATTGTCTACATGATGTCAACAATGTAAATTAATTAAAATTTTATTGTAAACAATATTCCAAAAGAATTTTTGAAAAATATTGAATATTTCCTATTATTTACACATTGTTTACAAGATGTCAACTATGTAAAATATGTAATTATTTATAGTCAATCATATTCCACAAGAATTTTTGATTTTTTTTTAATATTTGTTATTGTTTACACAAGATTTAAGATTTTCTTATGAGAAATAATATTTCATAAGAATTTTTTGTATTTTTCATAATTATCTATTATTTACACATTGTCTACATGATGTCAACTATGTAAATTAAGTAAATTTTTATTATTAACAATATTCCAGAAGAATTTTTAACTTAACTTGAATATTTCCTATTATTTACACATTGTTTACATGATGTCAACAATGTAAATTAAGTCAAATTTTATTGCAAACAATATTCCAAAAGAATTTTTGAAAAATATTAAATATTTGCTATTATTTACACATTGTTTACATGATGTCAACAATGTAAATTAAGTCAAATTTTATTGCAAACAATATTCCAAAAGAATTTTTGAAAAATATTAAATATTTGCTATTATTTACACATTGTTTACATGATGTCAACAATGTGAATTAATTAAAATTTTATTGTAAACAATATTCCAAAATAATTTTTAAAAAATATTGAATATTTCCTATTATTTACACATTGTCTACATGATGTCAACAATGTAATTAATGTAATTTTTTACTGTGAACAATATTAAAAAATAATTTTTGAAAAATATTGAATATTTCCTATTATTTACACATTGTTTATAAGATGTCAACTATGTAAAATATGTAATTATTTATGGTCAATCATATTCCACAAGAATTTTTGAATTTTTTCTAATATTTGCTATTGTTTACACATTGTTTACATGATGTAAATAATATAAAATTTATAAATTTTGATTTTAAACAATAATTTAATAAATATTTTGTTATATTGAAACAATTTTTTAAGTTTAAACATTATTTACATAATGTCAACAATGTAAATTTCAGAACTTATTTACATGATGTCAACATTGCATATGTTTAAAAAGTTGTTCAAATTCTCTTACCTTTTCGAAAAGAAATTTGTAAATCTGGATGTTGTATTGTTCTCCTGTTGATTTTGTTTTTGACCCAATATGGGTGTCGCTGGTGCTGAGCCACGCCTGCATGCTTTTTCATATGAAGTATCTGGAGTTAGAAAACAAATAGAAAAATTAAAAAACATTTAAAAAACATTTAAAGAAATTATAAATAAATCAAATTTTGAAAGAAATCTTTAAAACAAATTATTTAAAAATCCAAATTATGTTTAAACAAATCTGTTTTTTTCCCTTTTTTAGCTTTTATCCAAATTTATTTTATCTTTACTTTTTTAACATGTTTAATTTAAATGTTAAATGTGTATTTTTAAGGTGGGAAGAGGATTTGTGCTGAACATAGATGAGTTGTTAAAGATAAAAATGATTTAATTAACAAACTATTTTTTTGTTTAGGTTTTTTTTGCTAAAAGTTTTATTTAAGCTTTGTTGTTGTCTGAGTGTTGTATTAAATAATCTTTATACAACATACATTATAATTTGTTATTACAACATGTTGTTGAACAAGCAATTTGTTGTTATTAAAGCGTTTAATTGCCATTTGTGGTCAACGTTGGAGTTGAAAGGAAAAATTTTTAGTAAAAAAGATGGTATTATAAGTGAATCATATCAAAAGTAACATATCTCGTATCATATTATATTATTTATAAATTGGTTACATGTAAATTATTCCTAATTTTTTTTTAATAATTTCGAATATTTCCTCTTGTTTACATGATGTCAACAATGTAAATTATATAATTTTTTATTGTAAATGAGAATCCTAAATAATTTGGTTAATTGTCTCTAAGATTTCCTATTATTTACACATTGTTTACATAATGTCAACAATGTAAAATTGACGTTTACTTATGGAAATAAATATTTAATAGTCTTTTTGAATTAAAATCAATATTTTCTATAATTTACATGTTGTTTACATGTAAAATTTACATTTTACTGTTGTAAACAATGTTCTAAAAGTATTTTAATGATTAGTTCCTGTTCAGTTAAAGCTAAGTTTTAGTTCAGTTCTATTTCTGTTCCAGTTCTGTTCTAGTTCTGTTCTATTTCTGTTCCAGTTCTGTTCTAGTTCTGTTCTAGTTCTGTTCTAGTTCTGTTCTAGTTCTTTCTAGTTCTGTTCTAGTTCTGTTCTAGTTCTGTTCTAGTTCTGTTCTAGTTCTGTTCTAGTTCAGTTCTGTTCTAGTTCTGTTCTAGTTCTGTTCTAGTTCTGTTCTAGTTCTGTTCTAGTTCTGTTCTAGTTCTGTTCTAGTTCTGTTCTAGTTCTGTTTTAGTTCTGTTCTAGGTCTGTTCTAGTTCTGTTCTAGTTCTGTTCTAGTTCTGTTCTAGTTCTGTTCTAGTTCTGTTCTAGTTCTGTTCTAGTTCTTTTCTAGTTTCTGTTCTATTCTGTTCTAGTTCTGTTCTAGTTCTGTTCTAGTTCTGTTCTAGTTCTGTTCTAGTTCTGTTCTAGTTCTGTTCTAGTTCTGTTCTAGTTCTGTTCTAGTTCTGTTCTAGTTCTGTTCTAGTTCTGTTCTAGTTCTGTTCTAGTTGTTCTAGTTCTGTTCTAGTTCTGTTCTAGTTCTGTTCTAGTTCTGTCTAGTCTGTTCTAGTTCTGTTCAGTCTGTTATTCTGTTCTAGTTCTGTTCTAGTTCTGTTCTAGTTCTGTTCTAGTTCTGTTCAGTTCTGTTCTAGTTCTGTTCTAGTTCTGTTCTAGTTCAGTTCTAGTTCAGTTCTAGTTCATTTCTAGTTCAGTTCTAGTTCAGTTCTAGTTCTAGTTCTAGTTCAGTTCTAGTTCAGTTCTAGTTCAGTTCTAGTTCAGTTCTAGTTCAGTTCTAGTTCAGTTTCTAGTTCAGTTCTAGTTCAGTCTAGTTCAGTTCTAGTTCAGTTCTAGTTCAGTCTAGTTCAGTTCTCGTTCAGTTCTATGTTCAGTTCTAGTTCAGTTCTAGTTCAGTTCTAGTTCAGTTTCTAGTTCAGTTTCTAGTTCAGTTCTAGTTCAGTTCTAGTTCTAGTTCAGTTCTAGTTCAGTTCTAGTTCAGTTCTAGTTCAGTTCTAGTTCAGTTCTAGTTCAGTTTCTAGTTCAGTTCTAGTTCAGTTCTAGTTCAGTTCTAGTTTCAGTTCTAGTTCTAGTTCAGTTCTAGTTCAGTTCTAGTTCAGTTCTAGTTCTAGTTCTAGTTCAGGTCTAGTTCAGTTCTAGTTCAGTTCTAGTTCAGTTCTAGTTCAGTTCTAGTTCAGTTCTAGTTCAGTTCTAGTTCCGTTCTAGTTCAGTTCTAGTTTCGTTCTAGTTCAGTTCTAGTTCAGTTCTAGTTCAGTTCTAGTTCAGTTCTAGTTCAGTTCTAGTTCAGTTCTAGTTCAGTTCTAGTTCAGTTCTAGTTCAGATCTAGTTCAGATCTAGTTAAGTTCTAGTTCAGTTCTAGTTCAGTTCTAGTTCAGTTCTAGTTCAGTTCCAGTTCAGTTCTAGTTCAGTTCTAGTTCAGTTCTAGTTCAGTTCTAGTTCAGCTCTAGTTCAGCTCTAGTTCAGTTTCGTTCAGTTCTTGTTCAGTTCTAGTTCAGTTCTAGTTCAGTTCTAGTTCAGTTCTAGTTCAGTTCTAGTTCAGTTCTAGTTCAGTTCTAGTTCTAGTTCAGTTCTAGTTCGTTCTAGTTCAGTTCTAGTTCAGTTCTAGTTCAGTTCTAGTTCAGTTCTAGTTCAGTTCTAGTTCAGTTCTAGTTCAGTTCTAGTTCAGTTCTAGTTAGTTTCGTTCTAGTTCAGTTCTAGTTCAGTTTCTAGTTCAGTTCTAGTTCAGTTCTAGTTCAGTTTAGTTCAGTTCTAGTTCAGTTCTAGTTCAGTTCTAGTTCAGTTCTAGTTCAGTTTCTAGTTCGAGTCTAGTTCAGTTCTAGTTCAGTTCTAGTTCCGTTCTAGTCAGTTCTAGGTTCAGTTCTAGTTGAGTTCTAGTCAGTTCTAGTTCAGTTTCTATTCAGTTCTAGTTCAGTTCTAGTTCAGTTCTAGTTCAAGTTCTAGTTCGAGTTCTAGTTCCAGTTCTAGTTCAGTTCTAGTTCAGTTCTAGTTCAGTTCTAGTTTCAGTTCCTAGTTCAGTTCTAAGTTCAGTTCTAGTTTCAGTTTTTTTTCTAGTTCAGTCTGTTCAGTTCTAGTTCAGTTTCTAGTTCAGTTCTAGTTCAGTTCTAGTTCAGTTTCTAGTTCAGTTCTAGTTCAGTTCTAGTTCAGTTCTAGTTCAGTTCTAGTTCAGTTCTAGTTCAGTTCTAGTTCAGTTCTAGTTCAGTTCTAGTTCAGTTCTAGTTCAGTTCTAGTTCAGTTCTAGTTCAGTTCTAGTTCAGTTCTAGTTCAGTTCTAGTTCAGTTCTAGTTCAGTTCTAGTTCAGTTCTAGTTCAGTTCTAGTTCAGTTCTAGTTCAGTTCTAGTTCAGTTCTAGTTCAGTTCTAGTTCAGTTCTAGTTCAGTTCTAGTTCAGTTCTAGTGTTCTAGTTCAGTTCTAGTTCAGTTCTAGTTCAGTCTAGTTCAGTTCTAGTTCAGTTCTAGTTCAGTTCTAGTTCAGTTCTAGTTCAGTTCTAGTTCAGTTCTAGTTCAGTTCTAGTTCAGTTCTAGTTCAGTTCTAGTTCAGTTCTAGTTCAGTTAGTTCTAGTTCAGTTCTAGTTCAGGTCTAGTTCAGTTCTAGTTCAGTTCTAGTTCAGTTCTAGTTCAGTTCTAGTTCAGTTCTAGTTTCTAGTTCAGTTCTAGGTTCAGTATTTTAGTTCAGTTCTAGTTCAATTCTAGTTCGATTGTAAACAACAATCTAGTACACAATGCAAATTTAAAACTTTTCATCTATTAAATTTTAGAAATTTATAATTTGTCTCAAAGTTTTTCTTTCAAACTTTCAAAGACAATTAAAAATTCTATTCTTTTCTAGAATATAGTAGTGTACATCATATTTCCTCCACCTTCTACTAACTGACCGCCAAACTACCAATAAATAACCTTCTAAAATGATATGTTATTAAAAACGTTAATACATATAGAGTGACTTAACTAACAGTCTTTCAAACTAAGGCAGTGTTGGGCATTCAATTAAACAAGATTTCAACAAACTATGAATTGAGTAAAACTTAAGTTACATGAAATAGTTTTTGTTCTTTAAGCTCTTGTGTTAAAGATTTGTAAAATTTGGCCCTCACTGCCTTAATATGTGTAGTTTTATTATATAATTTTATAGTAACTGTGTGTTAAACAAACTAAAAAACCAATGTTACCACTTGAGTGTAATAGATTATAATGTTAAACATATTTCAACTAACACTTCAAAGACAGTTTCCAATTCTAAAAGAATAATAATAATAGTTTCAGCACAAAACTAACACTTTTCACATAGATACGAAAAAATATAAGAAAGAAACAAAAAAACTAAAAATAATGAACAATAATTACAAGCGGCAGATGAAATAACACAAAAGACCATAATAGTGTTTGTAAAAAAACAAAAGACCAGATAAAGTATTTAAAACTAAAGTAATAAAACATTTTCAAACTGAGCAAAAGTAATATTTTTTAAAAAGAAAAAAATAATAAAAAACATTGTTAACATGTTAATTTAGCTTATAAACTCCATTTGACATTACATTAAACCCCAGAGTTTTGCAGTCATGTTAACAATTTAAATGCAAACTTTATTATATTGATTGTTAAATTGTTAAAAATAAATAATAATAATAAGAATTTATTAACATGTTTAATACGACATAAAAACTGTTTTCAATGTCCAAGAGTTTTTATTTTAAAATATTGAATTGTTACTTTAATTTATTTATGTTCGTATTAATGAATTTGATAAATTTATTGTAAGTCCATGATTAATAAATAATTCATAAAGTTTATAAATACAAATTTACAAGAATAAATTTATATGAAAATAATATAATAATGAATAATAAAATTAAGTTTCTTTTTTGAAATAAATAAGTTGCAACTCGCATGTTGCTTTACACCATGTCAACTATGTACATTGTGTATTCTACCAGAATTTCTAACATATTTTGAATCTAAGTAAAATTTGTATTGTAAACAATATTTTCATAATTATTTCGAGATATTTTTAATATTTCTTATAGTTTACACCTTGTTTACATGAAGTCAACTATATAAATTA